TGGGCCTCTGCGAGCCGGGGGCAGATGCTCCCCATGCATGGTAGTATCCAGCTGGCTGGGAGATCTCACACACATCAGAAAGTTGGGTGGATGGTATTTAAAAGAAGGAAATAATTTCATTAGCTGTCACGTTATTTTTTTTCTGGGTTTGCCTTATTCAGTATTTTTCTGTTGTGTCATCTCTATGAAAAAAAAAAAATCCAGATGGAACAAGCACACAAAAGTGCTTTGCTTTCATCTTATTTGAAAGATTTATCACATGCTCCAGGTTAATCCATTAGGCAACATTATTCTAACAAGGTGTACCAAGCATTTTTATAACATATGAAACATTTTCTTCCAGATTTATGTGCTCCCTCTATTTATAGTCCATATGTTGTGTATATTACAAACTGGTATGATAAAGACTCAGGAAATTTTCTGAGACTCATGTGTTGGTTTGGTTTTTTTTTCCTTTTTCTCCCCCCGGCCCCGACTAATTGGGCAAAGACACAACTAGATACCCACACCCAATACATATTCAGACTTGTCTCCAGCTTTAGATGCACAAATGTCTTTTCAAATCTGGTTCCATCACTTTACATGCCTTATAATGCATTACAGACGTTTACATCCCTTAAATCTATTTAGATGGCTTTATTACTCAGAGGAAAAAATACTGGAAATTACCACTCTCCTATTGACAATTAAAAAAAAAAAAAAATAAAGAACTACAATTACCTTTGGCATTCTCAGAAGCCACCTCCACTGCAGGTGAAAACATGCCAGACAGAGAGGATGTGGCTCAGGAATGGAGTGAGGTCCAGGATTCAGCAAGGAAAACCTCTGGAATGTTAACTCTGAGCAGGCATCGCGTAAGGTCCCTGCTAGAGAAGCACTTCATTGACTTACATGCATATTTCAGTGCTTTTCTAAATCAGAATTCCCTCAAAGGGCTGTATGCTGAGCTATATTTCACTATTAAGTTTAGAGTAAGACCCAAATCATAAATAAAGGCAAAATCCATTCCTGATGTGAACTGGGGTTATGCTGGAGATGAATTTGACACACAACTGACCTGTTTGGTCTTTCTCTCTTAAGGCAGGAAAACTCAGAGACTCGAGGAGCACTCTTTTATCAACGTGCAACAGCGGCACAGCTTGCAAATACAGTTGCACGAGTCTCGCAATCTTTCACCCAGAGCTTATTCTAGAAACCTCTTCCTCCCTCCCCCCCCATCAACTGCAACAAAAGTTTTGCTTGAGGAAGGAGCAAGACCCAGAAGAGGTGCTCTCTCCCTTGTGTTGCAATATCCAATCTGAGTGTTACTATCAGCTTTTGGAAACTGACTGTATAGAAAACACAGATGATGTTTGCATATTTTAATTTTAAACATCTCTGCTCGGCATAAGGATGGAACCTAATAAGTTGCTTTGTTTCTGCCTCATGAATTAATTCAGCCTGCTAACTGATTTGGATAAAGCATTTTGATTCCAACTAATAAATTTGTTTTCTGGGCAGGCAAAACAGCTTTTGGAGGCAAAGTAACAAGTTCGTTAGCTTGCCAGGAGAAGTACTTTTATAATATCTATAAGGGATAGACTTTTTCTTTTTTTTAGCCCACTTGTTCCACCCGTGTCTTTTAAATCAATCAGATAAATTCACCTTGTTTTTCAATGCCCTGAATCCTGATAGCTCTGCACACTTGATAGGTAATTTAATCATCGTTGGTGTGGATGAACACAAGCTCAAATTAGCTTCTGAAAGGCTTAGTCGTCCTGTAGATAGCTCTGCCTTTCCACTTTTATGCAGGAACTGAGCTTCACCAACTGGTTAGCTCGAGGTGTCATTAAAAATTTACAGAAAGAAACAAAGGTGTGCTCCAGCGTCTCTCCTTACCCTTTCTACTGTTACTCCAGCAGACAAAAGGTATGGAACCTGCTTCATGAATAATGAGTCATGTAATATGCATAATGCATTTTTAATGGCACGCAGTAATAACATTGAGAGAGATATTTCCAATCTTCCGACTTGCACTGCGGCCTCTCAGTAGCCTGTTCTGATTCTCCCCAGATAGATCTTATTTTCCTCCTCTTCATTTCAAGTTCCCCACCTTAAAGCAGTGACTTTTTCCCCAGAGGTAGCTGCATTTCACCCAAATCGGCAGCTGAGCCGGTGCTCGAGGCAAGCGGGGCTGGTGAGGTGGGGAACACCCTCCCACACAGCCACGCACCACCGTTTCAAAGGAGTTCGGGACTGAGTGACGGCTCAACACCAGTGCCCTGAGGTATACCAGTAAGTTGCAAGACACTCTGGAGGAAGACACACTTAAACCAATAAAAACACCCGCCAAGTTTCTTCTCTTGAAGAACAGTCCTGTCACCCAGGCTGCGTCCACCCTGCGGGGCCCTCCCACCCCCCCAGCGGCTGCCTTCTCCCCTGGCCGCCCAACCCCAGCCAGCAGCTCTGCCCTAGGCTCAAACCACGCTAGTTGTCCTGTTTGAAAATGAGACGCTCGGGGGGGGGGGGGGCCCCCCCGGGGCAGTAAGAGTGTTCTAAAAGAGA